TGATCCTTCTCAGGTCCCACCATTTACCCGCAAATATCATGATTTCCTTATTTTTCATTGCTGAGTAATATTCCATTGTGTAGATGTACCACAATTTCTGCATCCATTCTTCAGTTGAGGGGCATCTGGGCTGTTTCCAGCTTCTGGCTATTACAAATAAAGCTGCTACAAACATGGTTGAGCAAATGTCCTTTTTGTGTATTTGAGCCTCTTTTAGATATATGCCTAGGAGTGGTATGGCTGGATCTTGGGGAAGCGCTATTCCTAGTTGTCTACAACCTAGGAACCTTCTACAGAGGGCTTCTGAAAGTCAGAAGAAGAAAACAGGAAACAAACTAGGAACCTACCACAGAGGGCCTCTGAAAGCCTCTGCCCTGCAGACTATTAAAGCAGATGCTGAGCCTGATGGCCAACTGTTGGGCAGAGTGAATGGAATTTTATGTAAGAAGTGGGAAATAGTAACAGTGGGAGAGGACAGGGTCTCCACAAGGAGAGCAACAGAACAAGAAAATTTGAACACAGGGAACTTCCCAGAGACTCATACTCCAACCAAAGACTATTCATGGAGATAACCTAGAACTCCTGCACAGATGTAGCACATGGCAGTTCAGTGTCCAAGTGGGTTACATAGTAATGGGAAGAGGGACTGCCTCTGACATAATCTGATTGGCCTGCTCTTTGATCACCTCCTCCTGAGGGGGGAGCAGCCTTACCAGGCCACAGTAGAGGACACTGCAGCCACTTTTGATGAGAACTGATAGACTAAGATCAGAAAGAAGGAGAGGAGGACCTCCCCTATCAGTGGGACTTGGGGAGTGGCATGCATACAGAATGGGGAGGGAGGGTGGGATCGGGAGGGGAGGAGGGAGGGGCTTATGGGGGGATACAAAATGAATAAAGTGTAATTAATAAAAAATTAAAAAAAAGAAAATTACTCAGTAAAAAAAAAAAAGAAAAAAGAAAAGCTATATTGGGCTGGAGAGATGGCTCAGTGGTTAAGAGCACTGTTTGTTCTTCCAAAGGACCTAGGTTCAATTCCCAGCACCCACATGGCAGCTCACAATTGTCTCTAACTCCAATTCAAGGGATCTGTCACCTTTGCACTAATGCACATAAAATAAAATAAAAAAAGAAAAGCTATATTAAAATCTCATAGCAGTATCTGGAGGCGCGGCTCTTACAGAGGACCTGAGCGTTGTGTTGTTCTCAGCAGCCTCATAGGATGCCTCACCTCTGCCTATAACTCCAGCTTCAGGAGATCACGTGTATGCACCCCATACCTCCAGAACTGAAAATAAAATATATTTATCAAACAAACAAATAAGCAAACCTCACAGCAAGACTTTCTTTTCTTTATTTAACTTTTAACTGATTCTTTGTGAATTTCACATCATGCACCCCAATCCCATTCATCTTCCTGACTCTTTGTATCTGCCCTCTACCCTTGCAACTTCTCCCACAAAAGAAAAAAAGATCGTTGTGGAAGCTGTGGTGTGTCACAGTTTATCCCACAGTGTACTCTTTTGTCTACACATCTTTTACTTGCAAATGGTCATTGGAATGAGTCATTGGTCTGTTTCGAGGCTTCTGGCTTCTGCTACACTATCAATACTGGGTCCTCACCAGGACTTCTCTCCGATATCCTGTTGGTGCCCTGTCGTGGAGATCCTGCAGCTTTGGGTCTGCATGACTGGCCCCTTCATATGTTGCAGCAGTTAATCCACAGGGTAGATGTTGGGGAGGGCCAAATTAAAGCCCTGGATCTGGGCCTGGGTGGTATCTGAGCTGGTCAGCCAGCCGGCTCTCCTGCACCCACCACCAAGGCAAGGTCTCCAGCACTGCCCTAGCTAGCTCCCCAAATGACCCAGCTGACAAAGGGCAGAGCCAGGTCTCATATCCTTGGGACCAGCTAACCAGCACCTTCATCACCAGGGCCATTTCTACTGTAATGCCCAGGTGATGGGCAGGAATGACCCAGTCTCCTGAGTGCTGCGGCCCCTGAGGGACAGGGACACACACACACACACACACACACACACACACACACACACACACACAC